GCTCACATCCTACGTATTAATGCAGGTTCCTCAAGAACTCGGTTGTGAGATTTTCTGGATTGAAACTCATCCTGGGTGTGCAGATACAGCTAGTCAGGATGGCACCCAAGGGATGAAGGTACCTTCTCTCCCTCTACCTTTCCTTTAGAAGCATGGAGGTGAACACCAGTCAGCAACTGAAGGTGCTGAAGGAGGATAAATCCATGACAGACACACACTTGAATGATGGACGCTTTACATGGGGTTACAGAGGTAACCTCTGCAACATCAGCTGCCTTTGCCTTTTCTCCTGGTAAGGACTCACATACTCCCTGTGGAAGGTATGATCCTCTATAGGTACAATACAGCACAGGTCTGTCACAAAGGCAAAACTGAAAACTCCAGCAGTAACTTAAGATATTGTCAACCAGTATCATATCAAAACAAGCAAGCAAATGCCACAGTAACCAACAAAATACAGGAGAATGTTTTGTGAATTCACTGGATTTTATTTCAGCTGACAGGAAAACATGAAGCACAACTGTCCTGTAATTGGAGCAACCAGATATGTATGGGGACATTAATTACAGGCAAAATAAATTAGTTGCAAACAGATCTGTTTACTGTATTTCTAACCACCTCTCTTTTTTTTCTTCATATTGAGGGTTTCGGCTCCTTTTGTTGTTGTTTTTTGTTTTGTTTTTTTCTTCTGCTAAAATCCCCAGGATTCTCAGGTCTCAGTACTGTTTTCTAAATGTTTGTTCTCTGAGCTGGCAATAGTGGTTCATTCCACAGAGAATTATTTATCCACCAAGATAAACACTTAGCTTAAACAAGGCTTAATGTTAAAGACAAATTACTTATGTTTCTAGTAATTACCCAAGTTAGGGGAGCATGTTTTTTCATGAAACAAATTATGAAATTGCTTGTTTAGCATTAGTCAAGCATGTTAATATTCCAGAATTGTGAAAATGCCATTGCTTTCTCCATCCTAGCCAGTCAAACCATAACATACAAAGCTTGAAGTTAACAGTGCAAGTACAGCTCTTAAGTTAAAAAGCCCCCCCAAACCACAGACCAGCTACTTTAAAGAAGGTACTAGTGTGGGAATAACCCATGGCCTGTTGAGCAGCATAGCTACCTACCCATTCTCTTGAAATTCTTAAATAGAAGACATAAAAGTTCAAGGATAAACAACAATACAAGGAAAACAAGAGAAACCAGCTAAGAGCAGAACACAGAAAACACCCTTAAGGTGAGATGCTCTGATTTAAGAGCATCTTAAATCCACCTTCTTGTGATTTCTAATGGAAACTGAAAACTGATTTATAGTCACCGTGCCTTTCACCACGGGGATGGGAAAGGTACATTCAGTAGACCTTCAAATATGTCCTTCAAATTGCATTCTGACAAAATACATCAGGCTCATGTGACTCACCTTCAAGAGTGACCTGAGCTCAGTGATGTAATCAGCAATTGAAACTCTAAGGTTGGCAATATGTCTACAGTGATGGATACCTAAGTTATACCCAAGTACCTCCCTTCATAATGGAATTTGCGTCTGCTAAAGAAGTGCTGAACACAACCCTCTTTCACAAAGAACAGTATCTCACTGTATCTCACTTGGGAACCTGCACTGGTGTAAATACCTTTGTTCTCCACAGCCAGCCAAACCAAGATAAATGGAGAAAATAGAAGTTAAATCACACTTGTTGAAAATTTGTCTTTTTCTAAATGCCTAAGTACACCATAAATTAATCATGTGGTTCTACATTCACTTTGTCAATAGAAAAGCTACTAGAACATCCTAATGTATCAGGCACAGGTAGTTATGATGATAACATTTATTTCAGATATTGATCACATAGCCAAGAGATACACTGAAAATGAGAACAAGTATCTGTAACTTGGAATGCTTGGGATTGTTTCCACTCAGCTCTCACCCTTGATGCTTTCCCTCCACGACTGGATGTTGTAGCCTAGGTTTATTAGGATTGTGCTCAATCAGCCAGTCAGCCAGCCAGGTCTGTGGAAAACAAACATTTTCAGTTCACTGTTCTTCTCTGTGAAGTGTACAGGGGAATATTAAGAGCATAACTTGAAACCTGTGACACAGCCACTCTCCAACTGTGAAATTAAGACCTTCCAGAAAAAATGGAAACACAAATTACCTGTTTTTTTATATCTTCACAGCTTACACTGCTTTTGAACAATTCACACTGGCATTCAGAAGACAGTTTTTCCTGGCAATGACTGTCATGGTTTATGCATAAGAACATTTGAACCAGATTTTAAATAATCCAGTCAACTCTGTTCTGGAATGAAGCTGTAACAACATGCATGAAACTGCTATGAAATATTACTCTTAACAACACTTGCAGATACTTTATCTAGTAATATTCAATGAAATTGCCAGTCTTCTGCACTGAAATCACCAAAACTTATAACCAAAATATGATTACTTTTTGAAAGTCATAAGTTTTCCAGCAAATTGTACCTAGATAAGAATGTGGAAGGCTGGAATGTGAGCCTTAACATCACCTGCCAAGGTCTTGGCCTGGCCTTGGGCAAGTTAACCCTTTGCCTTAATTTCTCCACTTGTAAAAAGAAGTTTTTAACACATCCTTGCTTACTTCAAAAGGCTGTTGACAGTTTATGGAATGCTAAGTATAACAAACTTCATATCACACTGAGAAGTGACTATTCAAGATGGGTTACACTCAAACTAATAATTAATTTTCCTGGTGAACTGTGGAGCAACCCAAATAAACACTAATCAATGCTGTATAGTCAAAATAGCAGCTTATCCTAAAGAAGGATTGATAAGATTAATCTCAATAAACATAACAATGACAAAACATAGACAGTCTAAGAACTCAACAGAATTTTACTCAATTGTGTAACTATTAGAAGTGTAATTAACATCTCACTACCTATTGCAGGAGAGCTATTTCATCTCAAACTCACCTCAGAAACAGTAAATACAGTAAAAACCTATATTTGACAACATATGCTAGTACCCATTTACCTTTTCAGCCATCTGTAATAATTATGTGTTGGAGTTTTATAGAAGTCACCTAAAAACCCTCTCATTTCATCAAGGCCCCCATTTCACCTGTAAAAAAACCCAATCAGCATCTTAAAAGGCTCGTATTATTTGATTGGCTCATTAGCAGGGAACTACAACAACACAGCTCTTTAATTAAAAATAAGTAGCTTTCCAATACAGAGACTTTATTAATTAAAAGCAAATGTATCACAAAAATACTGCAACATTGGACATACCATTGGGTCTGCTGGCTTCTCCTTGCACAGGGCAGTGAGCCCAGCTAGTAATGTAGGCTTCACATAAAGGTTCAAGTAATCCCGAGCTCTTTGTCCAGTTGGAATTGGCTCCAAGATCACTGTGAAGAGTAACCAAAGCAGTTTGTAGAGTGATATAAAAGGGCAAACCTTTCCAAGGTTTTTTATAGATGAGCTGTTGTTTTCCTTAATAAGTTAATACATCATGTTTTTTATAGCTTCTCCCACAACAAACTGCAAAGAAACTACCTGAAGCCCTTTACAATATCCCTGAGGTCATCTTACTAATTACAGACAATTACAAAAGGGAAGGAAATGGCACCATCTGGGGAAAAGGTGCATCCTTGGAGATGCACTCAGGGCAGGAGAGAAACAATATATCTCGTGTTAAGTACTCTGTCCATGCAGCTTGAAGGTAGTTTCTGAAGACCCTAAGAATCCCACCTTAGGCCCAGCTTTGTCACTGGGACAAGGAGAAGAGACATGACTTACAACAGGTAAAGGTTGTAGGAAAGTGCAACACCTTTTATTAAACTGATGCACTTGACAAAAACAGAGCAGTTTTTCTAGCAGAGTTCCCTTTGCATCTTTCTGTCTAGGGGCAAAGCCATCTTTCAACTGTTACATTACAAATGAGATCACCTCCCAGCTTTTCCAGGGTCTATGGCCCATTTCTCTGGCACTTGACTTTGGAATTGCACTATCTGGAGAGCATCCAGCTGCTCTTGAACAGGAATTCTGAGTCTGAGCTCTAGGCTCAGACAGACAGGCTCTAAGTCTGAGCCCAAGAAGAGAGTCAGTGTTCTCAAGCCATCAGCAGACCTGGGTCTGACACTGCCAGAAAGGCATCCTGGACTGTAATAGCTTCCCATTTCCTCTAATTTATTACCTTTCCTTGCTGCAGCCTTTGAAAAGTAGGAGCAGTCCCTCTAACTATAATGTCTCTTCAGATACATGTAGGTGTGTGTCACTTGTAATAGGAAATATCAATTTATACATAAAGAAACATATTTTCATCTAGAGAACAAACCCAATGCCTTCTAAATCCAATTATATCTAGAACCTGGACAGAGACAAGTAGTAACTGGGAAGGACACTACCCTCCCAAAGACTGGTACTGTATTATTTGCACCATTTTACCTTCTGGAAACATGAATCGAATTTCTCTTTCTGCAGAGAAAATGTTGGGGCTGCCATGAAGTGCATTCCTCAGATCATCAGTCCCATAGATTGCTCGTAAGCTAAAAGACAAGAGAAAGAGCTGCTTGGTTGGCAACTGCAAATCCCTTCCAGGTCTCTACAGTCTGACATTGTACAAAAGCAATATATGTGGACTAATTAACACAGCACTGGCTTGATTTTGTTTTTAAACAATGTAAAGAGCTACCTAAAATTTATGTTCATGCACTCCATAAAATGGCTGAACTTTACATACTAAAAAACAAAAGGTGAAAAGGTGTATTACACAAAATTTAACACTCCAAATGTGTATCACTATTGTAAAAGGAAAAAAAAAAAAAAGAAAAAGGAGATAAATTCTGGTCTCAACGAAGAGAAAGACAAAATCCTAGTGACTTCACCAAGGTTACCTGTGAGGGTGAGTTCTCTGAGCTCTGAAGCTGTCTGATGGTCCAAGCAACTCCTTCCAGTATGAGACTGCACAATATCGGGCAAGAACCATGGCAACTGAAGGTCCAGAGCTCATATAGGCTATTAAATTAGGAAAAAACACTTTTCCATATTTGTCTGCATAAAAGTTGCTGCTTTGCTCTGGGCTTAATTGGAGCTTCCGTTTCTATAAAGTGTAAAAGAAAAAAAAATGAAAAAAAACTTGGCAAATTAATATTTCTGCCTCAGATGGGATCCAGCCCTCTGGTGCAGTCAGATCCTCAAGTGCAGGAAAACAGACACAGAGTAACTGTTCCAGACTAATCTGATTCCCCAGATCTGATCCTCTTTGAGATAGTGAGTAACAAAGAGCAAGAGTTTTCCAAGTTAATTAAGCAGACAAACAGGCCATTTGAGTAAGAGATTTTAGCCTACACAAATTACAGCACTTTAAAACTTCTGGATGACTTCAAGTGCAGTCAAGGCAAGAAGAAATGAAGACCGTTACAAGGGCAGGAGTTAATCACTCAGCTGCTCCAGCATAATTTTCTACTTTTAAACCATTTTCTCTTCAGCCCACACTGTTAATTATGCAATTGTTCTATTTTTCATTCAGTACTCATGCTTTATGATTCTCACAAGAGTTGCCTAACCTGCAGGTGCCCAGGATTAGGACAAATCTGGAAGGTTATCAGAAGGCACGGGGTAGTCATAGAGAAGAAAATCTGTGAAGGGCATTATTTGAGCCCAAACTCAAGTAATAGAGTACCACAAATTCAGACTCCTAATAACTTCAGCGCCAAAAGTCACTGGAGAGATCAGAAGGTGCTGTTAAACATCTTGTCTTTAATAAATAAATAAATTATAAAGATCTGATTGACCTCGTCTCCTGACACATCCCGTAGAAATCAAACAACCAGAAAGGTAAGGGAGGGAGAGAAGTAAAAAAAAAAAAAAAGAACAAATGTGGGAAAGGGGCGCTTAGGAGAACAACAAAAATGATTACAGTTTGAGAGGAGAAAATTTAAATCGTGAACGGGAGGATGAGGATGAAGGGGATGATGATGCTCAGGGGGATGATGCCCAGGGATGATGTTCAGGGGGATGATGCTCAGGGGGATGATGCCCAGGGATGATGCTCAGGGGGATGATGCCCAGGGATGATGTTCAGGGGGATGATGCTCAGGCCGCGCCCCCCGGCCCGCCGGGCGCGAGGCCGCAGCGCCCCCCAGTGGCCGCTCGGGGCGGAGGCGCCGCCGCCCTCCGGGACCCCGGGGCGGGGACTCCACCTTATCCCGGTCCTGCCAGAAATAACAGCTAAAAACCAGAGAAAAACCTCCTGCCCGGCACAGAGCAGCGCTGCTGGCCCCGTGCCGAAGAGCCTGACGCACCCCTCGCTTACAGCGCTCCTGCTTTCGTTCCCAGAGTCTGACCTTGCATCAAATGCTCTTACAGAACGAGTGTGTCAACAGCCCCAAAACTGACCATATATTTATAAGCTAACATCAATTTTTTGGTTTCTTAATCGCATTCTAGAGCCCTTCCCAGCAGCACAGGGTCTCAAGGCACCATGGCCACCACATCAGGTTCAAAACGTTAAAGGAAAAGCTTGTTAAGGTCCGTTTGGATGAACCATTTGTAATGCCTTTAAATACCCATAAAGCCCTTTTACATTAAAAACACTGGAAAGGAAAAATAGGTCAGACCACAACTGGCCAGCCAACTAATTACATTAATTCTCTACGCATCCACTTGGCAAACACCTGCTTTGTGAAACCCTCTATACCAGAAAAGATACACTCTCCAGAGAGTTACTTTGGAAAGTCCACGTATCTGCTACATATGTTTTCTAAATCCGAGTTTATTAACAAAGTCTGTGTTTTCCTGTAGAAAGCAGCATGGTTGGGTCTGTTCTGTTCCATCCCATGCACCAAGTGTAGCCCTGGCAGCAGTGTTGATGACATATGAAAAATGCAAAGTGATTTTTGGACACACTAGCTTTTAGTTTTAGTTATTGGTTTGACTGATGAAAGTTATTAAAAATATTGTTCTGACTTATAAAGCACACTGTTTTCTCTGGAAAACAGTCTGTTACCTGAAGGATCATGAATCCTGCTTGGAGAATGAGATTCTCTATTTCTTCTTCTTTGTCAACAGCATCTGGTTTGATGAGGGCCAGAGTTCTTTCCACGGGAATCTGAGGTTCAGGCATTAACAACCTCATCTGGTCTTCTGAATCAGAATCCATGTGTTCCTTTTGCACTGCAATGACATCAGTTCAGTGTATCTGGAGTCTGTCCACCACAGTCACCTGCGGTGACATTTATTCTGTGCTCTAGGAAAGAAGAGGGTCACCTCCACTTCACAACATCCACCTGAGGTTTTCTCTGGACTTGTTAGCATTCTAGCTTAACAGTCCCCTTTTTCAGTGCAGCAGCAGTTTGTGGAAAATAAGCCAAAAATTAAATTTTTGCTAATAATAAAATGTAAAGTCTTCTGTTTCTAGTGTTTCACTTATTAACTTTGACAATTTATGAGGAACAGAAGCATTATCATACACTTTGCTACATGCTCCCCACATTCCCACTTCCTATCTCCTCACACCAACCCTGTGTTCCACCAAGCCCAAACCCCAAATTCCCACACACAGATACTGTGGTGTGGGAGGAATGAGCTTTTCTGCACCTTTACCTTTGAGACTCCCCGCTCACTTTCAAATTGGGTTGAAGAGGCTGGGGCAGGGAGACAAGAGCTGAGCACAGCACGGCCGGGGCTGCCTTGGCGGGGCAAGCAGGCTGAAAACACTGTCCCCGCAAGGCTCGGAGCAGCCGGCCCAGGGCCCGACGGAGCTCCCAGGAACCGATGGAGCTCCCAGCAGCAGCTCCGAGCTCTCCCCACAGGGCCTGGCAGGCCCGGCCCGCGCTGCCCGGCCCCGGCGCCGTTGCCAGGCGACAGCGGAGCGGCCACAAGATGGCCCCGGCGGGCCGCGCTCCAAGATGGCGGCCGCGGGGCTGCGGGCGCGGAGCTGAGGGCAGAGCGGCCTGGGGACGGGCAGAGCGGCCCGACAGGAGAGGAAGGAAGGGATCCGAGAGGGAAGGATCAGAAACCTCGCTTCTCCCTCACCAGAAAAGCTCCCCATCGGTTTTTTTACCTCACCCTCGGGGGCTGCTGAGGGAGGCAGGATCTCGCAGGGAACGTTCGTAAAGCGAGGTGACGCCATGCGTTGCGAAAAAAAAAAAAAGAAAGAATAAGCACACAAGCCGCTCTTAAAAGTTACTTAAGTACCGGTACTTTTTGCGGGAGCGTGCACGAGGTTCCTGTGTTCCCCATCACCAGGGGCTGACAGCTCAGGGCCTCCTGCCCTGCCACGTGCACTGACCTGGCTCTGCTGCTCTCTAAGGCTGTTTTCCAGCATTTTTGATCGAATTACATTGTCTATCCGGTGCTTCTTCACTTTTATGACAAAAAAAAACCCAAAACATAAAAATGTAATGAGTAAGAAACAGTCACCGTTTTCCAAGTAAAATTATAATGAGACAAGCCCTAAACAGAGCTGGGGAAATGGCATTCCCTGGGGAAAAGGCATTCCCTGGGGAATTTTACCAGCTTTCCCCATTTTTGGCTCCCTGCACACTCTGGCGCTGCTCCTGCCCGCAGCTGTGACGGTTCCATCACACCCGGGTGTGACACGCGCTGTGCTGCCGTGAGGCTGGAGAAGCGTTGGGCGCTCCGGTATCTCCCCGCGTCCACCCTGTTTACCCCGGGCAGGGCGGCACGTGCTCCCCGGGGCTCCCGGGCTGAACCTGGGCCAGCTGGCCCGGCGCTGTCAGGCAGAGGCTGGCCAAGGGTGCGATAACCGGGGAGCTGGCTCTGCAGGCTCCTCGCGTCGGGGCCTCGGCCCTTCTTCTTCTTACCCATTTCTCAAAAACCGGGAGAGCTGAAGTGCTGCCAAGACCTCCGGCCTGCTGGCCAGTTCAGCTGGAACTGGCCGTGGCTTTCGAGTCCTTGAGGTGACAGTGACAGAGAGGACACACAGGTGTATAGGCTTCCGTTTTGTAATGAAATCAGACTGAAAGTAAATGCAAAGGGTAAGAGACAAAAACAACCCCATTTTCAGAGCTGTAGGTGCTAACACTGTGTACCCTGGTTACCAGAGGAAACAGCAAATTTACTGAAAAAACTGTTTTTAGCATAAGAAAAACCCACTTTGTCCTAACCTTTTTCATGAGTAATGTAAATAATATAAAAATAGAAATGAGAAACAAAATCATGCAATTATTTCCTTGCAGCCAGTTTGAAATAGGTTTAAAATTCAAGTTTTTAGACACACACTAATAAAGATTCCAAGTGTACAAGAGTAACTCAGATACAGACTTTCCTTCACTGATACAGGAATATTGCATTAGTTTCTGTAACAGAGACACCTAATCCAATATTTAATTTGAAGACATTGTAAACACTGCAACTACCCAGAGATCATGGATAAACATATTGGAAACAAACAAAAAAAGCTGATGGAAATTTTCAGCAGGTTTTTTTGGCTTTTTTTTGTCCAGAGTTAATTCAGCAAGAGTAGTTTCTTTTCAGAGTCAGTGAATACAAGTCTGACAGCCCTAGCTTAGATTGAGCAGTTCAAAGGCTTCCTCAGCCTGGATGAATACTTCAGAATCATTATTACAAAAGAAATACTGAATTTAATATCCATGTAAAATGCTGCTAATGTTGATCTCTTGCAATTTCTTTACTGTGTGCATTTTGTATTTCATCTAACCAAGTTAAAATAAATGTATCTTTCTGTGCATCCTAATATACTGCAGTTTTGCCAGGAGCAGAGTCTTGTGCGGTTCAGTCCCTGCCGTGGGCCCTCAGTCTGTGTCAGAATTTCTCCTCCCTGTTTCCAGAAGCATTTCTGGAGGGCGGAGATTGTCTAATTTTAGTACCTCGGAGAATCCTCTGCTCTCCAATGAGCAGGCAGCTGCATCTGGAGCTGCAGCCAATTACCCTGGGTTTCCTCCTGATACGCTTCCCACGATGGTTTAATAATGCAGACTTAAAAATTTAAAGCAGCCCTACACATTAAAAGAACATTATGTGTTCCTTAACAAAGGCACTCGAAGGTTTGTTCTAGATACTTGGATTCTCTAAATCTAACCTTACAAGCCTGTGTTGATATCATTGCTTTATGTATATTATTTCTAAAGTGCTTGAAACAAATACTTCTGATCATTAAAAGGCTAGTCTGAAGCATCTTCCCTTACTTCTGTAGGCCAAGAATGTGAAAATAAACAAAACCAGTAAAATTATAATTACAGTGTAATGAATGGTCACAGGTCTGAACATAGGTTACAGTGTAATGAATGGTCACAGGTCTGAACCCTTCTCTGGGCATAGCTTTGCTGCTGCACCTTATCTGTTAAGCAGTTTAACAAGCCTTAGTTGTCTCACTTATTTTTAGCTGTCATGGAATATAAAAAGACAGAAAGTTCATTGGTGCAGCTACATTTGTGTAATAAGATATAATTAACTTTTTAGGAAAAATATTATTTCAAAGCTTTGTACTCCAATACTGCAAGAGGTAAAGAAACTTTTGTCTTGTAGACAGTTAAAAAAGAAGAAACACACAATTATGAAAATAACCAAGAGAAGAAAAGCTAAAGAAGTAATACCAACTAGCTGCATTGATTAAAGATGAAGCTTGCACATCCTTCAGCTTCATTTGAACTTTGATGTTAAGCCCAGAAAAATTTATTTGTTTTAGTAGTAATTCACTAGCTATACATTTCCCACACATACAACATTCACCTACCACTGACTTTTCTTGCTTCTGCCTCTCATGGCATCCTGTCACACCTACCCACTGTACCAGCTTACCTCTAGCACTTGCTTCAGCCATGCTTGCTTTTGCAGTGTCTCTGACGGAAATCCTGTGATCAAGCTGACTTCCTCTCCTGCAAGCTGGTCTCTCCTGCATTTCAGCCTCCTTACAGCTAAACAATTCTATTTCTGCAGCTTATCTGCATGCAGGTAATCCTAGGTAGCTTTTCACTGCTGCTGACTAACCCTTGTCAAGCCTTCTTACTTTCCTCTACTTGCCATCTCACCGTTTTCTTTCATGACAAAATAATAAAAAATTTTCTCTTGGTACTTCCTCTTTCTTCAAGTCTCTAAGTGGCAATAACAAAAATCTTATCTACAAGTCTTCTGTAACTCCCATCACTTGCCCTATTAACTTCACCCTATTCCATTTCCTGGTCTTCCTCACACCCACTCTTTGATTTGTTCACAGCTTTCAGTCATCCAGCCTGCTCTGACCACACCAGCCCAGCACCCACGTAAACACTGTCTATTTACATTTTTAAAGAAACCTTTTCTAGAAGTGCCTCTTGTCATCTCTCTTTTCCAAGCCTTCCAATCACCTCTCTTGTCCAGTTCTACCCTAAATCCCCTTAAAACTTGGTTTTGCTTCTTCTTGCTAGCTGAAAGCCACTCAACCCAGCTTAAACCACACTCTTTTTTTGCATTTGTTCTCACCTGTTGCTTCTGCTCCAGTCACCGTTTCAATCTGTCTTGTCAGACTGTACCTTGTTTCTGTCCCTCTTCTGTAAGAGCAGTGGTGAGTGTTGTTCTGACTCTCCGCCCTTCTAGCTGAGAGCTCAGCAACCTCATGGACAAACAGAGATGTGGTTGCCCCTCGTTAACATCTCCTTTCAAACTTCAGGTGTCTCCAATGCAATTTAAGGTATTGGTAATGAGCATGTGTTAGACAACCCATTGATCTTTGTTATTATTGACACGTCTGGGAATCTTGCTCTAGCTCTCCTCATCTCAGTTCTTGTTGACACCCCTTTCTCTGACCTCAACAAATAACGCATGTGCTTCCATTCAGAAAGCTCTGCAACACCCTTTTCCCAGTTTTTTAGTTTAACTACGTTAGTTCTCCACATCCTTCCAGAGACTCTTCTCTATCACACACATAAACCCTTACTCCTCAATTCCAAGCCCACCCATACACTGACCTGGTCCTGCTCCTGTTTCCTGCCAGCAAGCACTTCTGAATTCCACTCCTGCACTTTCAAATCAAGACCTTCCAGCATCACCCCACGTTGCTGTTCAGGGTGAGCTCCTGTTGAACACCTGCAGAGACTGGCACTGGCAGTTAATTTTCTATAAAGCTCCTCCTCATCTGTACACAGACATTGTGTACAGGTACTGCAGAGAGATGTA